AGACCACTGGAGACGCTGTAGTACATATGCCGGGCCTGTAAGTGGCGCTGTACTTCTGCCATAAAATACACAGAAAGCAGCGATGGAAGACCCCTGAGCATGGTTGCCATGGTTGCCCTTCTGTTTATGCCCCGCAGTAGATTTAGCATCATGTAGTTCTTCATGTCCACTTGTTGCTGATGGTTGTGGTAGAGGAGCAGTAGGTTTTGCACTAACATCTGTAGCATGGTCAGTAGTAGTAGCAGTGAGCAGCAGAGGTGGGGAGAGGCGGGGCAATGGCTTCATCGTTATCAGGAAATTATCGTATAGGGCGTACACACTGAGCCGTTTGCCCCCCCAGAGCGTTCCGTTTGCAGATCTATCCACCTTGGGACCCGTTATCATTTGCGGGGTCCGTTTCCGCGGTTCCGTTACCCGCCTCGTGTGAACGAACGGGCTATACGCGAGAGAAAAGTAGCAGATACAACCCGTTTCGTTCTCGTGTAAGCACCGCCTAATTCAATAGTCTCGAAACTAGCATTTGACACCATCGAGTCATGTTTACAAAAGTTAATGAGGTAATAAATCAAGCGAAAAGTAGGCTCACTTCCCCACAGACTTCTATACAATCTGACTTTGGTTGCCCTGGGAGGATGCAGCTTGAGGCTTTTTTAAATCACTTGATTTTTCACGACAATAATCTTTTTATGGTTGGTTTCTGCCACAAAACCACCTGCCAGATCCTGCATGTGAAGTCAGCTGGAGATTAAACGTGCCAAATGTAAATGTGATTCTGAGACCAAACGATAACCAAAACACCCGAATGAACTACTGTACATTCTAATCTGCACGCAAGAGAAGATTAGGGGAATTCCTCAAGGGGATGGGATTGTATTCAGGGACATAAACCCCCCCCCCCTACACCATCTTTTACTGTGATTTATCTCCAAATCTCTTACAGTAATGCAACAGGCTGCATGGAAACAGTGTTTGACACAGTGAAACTGCATGATAGGAGTTTTTAAATGATGTGAACTCCTCAAAAAAGCTACACCAATTAATTTTGGTTGTATAAGAATATGATATCATAAGTTTAAGCTTCAGTCTAAATCTTTTCCATCAATACTTTTGAGTTTTTTTCCTTTCCGTTAATGCGTAATTGTAATTTATTTAGTTTAATGTTCATTGTTTTTAGGAAAATGTCTCATAAGCTTAGAGCTGCATGCAGAATGGGCTATATCTGTATCTTACATCTACTTTAGTAACAATACTTGAATCAACGTACTTAGTTCAGGTGGAGTTTTAAAATGTGTATTTCAATGTTGATAACATTTTAAATCACGATTAATCAGTTGAGTTATATGTTTAATTATAAGATGATGTCCACAGCATTTTGTCAACACTGCATTACTTTTAAAAACACCTTTTGATGACAACATTTTTTACATATTTTGGCTTGTTGAATAAATGATGGTGGATTACTAGCATAGTACACTTCAGTAAAAAATCATTATATTGATGTTTACTTGCTCTTCTATTTATTTGCATTGCATTTGACATTAAGGTAATCCTAAAGTAATGGAGAGTAATCAGGTTACATTAGTTTAATATTGTTGTACTCAGATAACATTACATTTCTTTACAGGTACTACATTGTACACAGACATGGGCGTCTCTTTGTCAAAAATAAAGTGGTGGGGACACTCTTTTCCAGATAAAATGAAACACTACTGCATTGACCATTAGTGCAGTAACTATACTACGCTGCTGCAAAGCGATTCTCTATTAAATTATAACTCATATTAAACGTGTCTCAGGTCCAAACTGCCCCGCACCAACACACCCAGAAAGTATGAACAGTCCTCCAGACTCTACATGTTCTCTTGTGTTCTCTTCTCAAAGTGTACAATGCTTTGTGAATGATATTTTCAGAACATTTCATTTTCACAAATGTTCCTAATGTAAAATGGGGGACACACAATTTGCCATTTCCAAAAGTGGTCCTTAGACATGTCCTTGACGTCCATAGTATAATTGACGCCTATGGAAGCAGATTACATTTTTTAAAGTAACCCTCCTTGTTAGTAGTCACAGTGAGGCTGCAGCAGTTTAAAAGTAAAAATCATCTTATTGATATTTCTTTTCTTTTGTGTTTATTTGCATTACATTTGACATTGAGGTAATACGAAAGTAATCAGGTTACTTTTGTGATACTCAGATTACATTAAAACATTTTTGGAGATTACATTTGTAACCCTCCTGTTATCACAGTGAGGCTGCACTCACCATGGTACTCCTCCGTGCCTCCGTTCCTCAGCGAGGAGAGATGCCCGCTGAAGGGGGAGTTTTCCTGGGGCCCCTGGGGCTCCCCCAGACCCTCGATGTCCACTTTGTGGGTCCGCGGGGTCCCTGAAGGGCTGAGCAGGGGGTCCTGGTCCTTACTGAACCCCAGGATGACGTCGATGCTGTGGACGCGGCCCCCCACAGAGAGCCCCCCACCTTTCCCCAGATCGTGGAAGTTGCTGGGTGAGAGGCAGCTGTCGTCCACCATCATGGTGTCCAGAGAGAGATGCATTGAGCGTCCGGCCCTGAAGGAACGGGAGGGGGTTCAGGGTTTATCACTTTTGTTTAAATGTGTTATTTGGAGTTTTGTTCGTTGCCATCTTTTTTATATTGTACTTTTTTATAGTGCATTCCTCTTGTAGGTGAGATCCTTTAGGGGGAGACGGCAGGTTAACAGTACATGCAACCAGTGCAGAAATACTCTTTTGAAAATAAGACTCATGCAAACTTCCAAGTGAAAGTAGTGCTGTACATTAAAACAAGAAAACAATATCATATTATTGGATTATAATTATTATGTGAATATATAATGTGTAAACATCACTTTGATATAGCATGGTAAATGTGTGGCTCATTTGAATGAATTTATATTTATTTAATGCTCTTATGCTTTCTCTTTGGAGAAATGTCGAAAATAAGGAAACAACATTTTTGCAATATTTAGAAAAAGGCTTTATTTTAAAACTATGAGAATACTAATTATTGTTTCCAAACTGCTGGAGAATTGTGTAAAATCCCTGTAAATCCTGAGGGGTCTTGTGTGGAGGTGCAGAGGGTCAGAGATCACCTGCTCCCTCTGCATGACTCTGTCCATCACATTAACCTGATTATCCTGCGGGGGGGCACAGTCTGCACTGGAGAGTGCGCTGATGGACACTAATGACACCCGTTACCTCCTAATCCACACTTTTTACTTTTTTTTAACGAATGGTCTGCACTGCTGAGGTTAATTAGGAACGAATGTTTCATTTAAATTCACTTTTTTCCACATTTCATAGGAAAATAATACATTTTCTCTCATAAAAACTAACATCAAAGTCTCTATATTGGAATGTTTTGTTCATGTTGTCTGTTTTAAAGTGAGACATTTCTTGGTAAATACAAGTTATTATCCTTGATACGCACAACATTATCTAAACTGTTACCAAAAACATCTGGCTGTCAAGAGCCATTTAAAATACTAAATCTTGGACGCCAAGTAAATAATATTGACGTTATTTAATATAACAGTGAAGATAAAGTAAATTGACTGGATTTTTAAAAAGCATATAGGAACTACAAGTGTCTACAACGTCTAAAATCATGGACTGTAGGTATAAAGCGAGTCAATTTATTGGTTATATAATAGTTGAATAAAGTAATGCCTTATGCAAAAGATCAAATATGGTTTATGTGTTGGAAAGATAAGTCTGTTCTGATATCCAGTGCATGAAATTGAAGATATTTTGCACATAAATAAAGTAAATTGACTAGATTGCAAGTGTAACATTTATTCTTTTAAGTGTTATTTGGGGATTACAGCTACTCTTCCATATAGAGGAGCAGGGACAATCTGTTTTAAGTTAGTTTAGTACGTTCCTAGTTTTTTTTCCTCCTCCAGTTGCATGGTGAGTAATAGAGTTAGGTGTCGGTAAATGTATGACAGTGTTAGAGCTCACCTGTTAGAAGTAATTACGTTGTTAAAGTTGCTCCACCTGTCCTCTCCACCTTCAGATCCTCTCGCTGTCAATCAGCCGGATTTGCCTCCCTTGCATTTCCCTCAATAATGTCTCTAGGTGGCTGAAAAAGCAGTCCTGCAAAAAGTGCAACAGAGTAAAATCCAGAGCGCTCACAGACTGAGACTCAGAGAGTGCAGGAGGCGCTCAGGGCTGAGGGGAAGGAGGAGAAACCAGGGGATTAGGGACGGGGCTATTAATTGGGATCCGTCCCCTGAAACAGTGATTGGCAGCTGGTTTCTGCTCAAGTAATTGTTTTAAATGTCATTTCCATCCCCCCCCCCC